TCCGGCATGTAAAGCAAAGTTAATGACGCGATTGTACATGCCACTTTTGGCACGGATCCAGGAGCCATTGTAGATCAAACAGATGTTCACGAAATCTGCCTGTACTCAATCTACACCAGTTCTCCATCGTTAGACCCAGAAGTATACAATTACGTACACGTTCATCTGGTACCGCTCGCGCTATTCAAGCCACGACGTTGGTGAGAACCAAGTCTAGATAGCGGGAGTTCCAAAGACGGAGATAAAGAAGCTATCGGTAGTCGTGGCTTACCAGTAGTGCCCATACCGCGCCGTAAGGCAACAAATGGTCGCTCTACTGACAGCTGAGTTACACGTTGAGATGTACACCATACTGACTGAATTTGATGTTTTCAATGTTTGAACTTTGTTAACGCAACGGTCACCGGCATCAATAGCAGTTCTATAAGGCTTAGTACTGATGAGCAATTATGATCATCTTATAACCATGGAACTTGGAGATTGGAAAATGGGAGCTAATGTCACACCTGCACGCTTTAGCAAAACATTTGGATCAAGGTGCATGCATCCTTGCAATAGCGAGCGGTAAAAGCAGTCAGCTGTTGTGTAAGGACAGGGTTGAGCCAGATGAATATTTTCTCTAACGCGTACACAGCCACGCACATAATCAACGTGACTACATAAACAAATCATTACACGACACACATAGAACAGCTACTTCAGACTGTGAAAACAGCCTTTGCGCAACTTATGAGTACACCAAATATTCGCCCTAACAGTTTCCTAATTGCTGTCTTACCTACGTACCGTCAGTAAAGTCGTATCTTTTTGGGGCTAATCACGTCCTCTGCAACATTCGTGACTTGCAAGTTAGTGAAGTACAAGACGCGCTATATTGCACTTAGCTTGTAAATCATGAAGGGCTACCGCTGTGTCTGCCATGGCTCAGTGGCATGAGTTGCTGGTTGGCGGTTCAAGACGCTGCTGGCCATGAGTTCGGATCCAGACGGAGCAGAGGGATACGTACCAATGCAGGGACATAACAGGTCGAAACGGCTGTCTAGTGCGTGAGAATCAAGAACGCGTCGTTTACGTAGCACTCCCATCTTTTCGGATTAATAATAGGCAGTAACTCTCCACTTCATTACATGGCAGTTTAAGCGACAAGCTTGAAAAATTACACCTGGCAAATCACTGCGCTGATGGTGCCACCTCGCATGGTGGTGAAACGTCTGCAACCAAACAGCCAAGCTATGCGAACAAATAGACAACTGAACCATCCGAGGTGAGGAAACACCTAGGACAGTCGTGTAAAAGCAGCTGTTATTGTGCACAAAATGAAAGCTCTATAGTAACGATTATTGTGAACCATTATTGCTTGGAATGTTAATGTGGGCGCTCGGTCATTCTCTGAACTGGACGGTTTATTTGCAGACGTCCCAGCACCAGAGTACGCTGAGTCTGACAATGACATTTTGCCACATAAATCATTCAGCCCAACAGCCAAATTTTCTTTCGACGTCCCAATCAGTCACGAAGGCGGCGGGATGTCATCTTAACTATCATTGGAGAGAAGTAAAACGCAACAGTTCGTTGCTTTAGCTGATGGAATAGACCAATTTTCCAATTCGGGTAGACGTTAGAGTCATTTGAGACAAGGCCACTTAGTTAGACCCAGTTATGCTCTTTCTAAGTATACAAACAGCTTCAAAGTTTTGCGGCTTTGGACAATGTGCCTATTTGGAGGAAACTGAGATGAGCTGGCAAATAAAAATGAAAATCAGACCTAAACTTGACCCATTAGCTGCACAGGTTCTAACCGGAGACCTCAAGATTGGCTACAAGTGGTAAAAAAGACCTTATGCATCCTTATGTAGACTACGACAACAGTAGGATCGGTCAGGTGCACCCAACTGCTAACGTTTCTTTCAGACGAATTCAAGGTTAAATATGACTAATTTACTCTGCAGTTTTTCTTAGTAATTTCACGCTATTATTATCTCCAAATTGGTGTGTTCCTAGAGGAAAAGTGGTACCTTTGTTACAGTTCTTTCAGAACCGGGGCTCAACCTTGAAAAATCTTGAAGTGAGTACTCCAGTCTACAACGGAGGGTGCAGTTTTAAGTCTTCGACCTGCCGCCCAGTCACCATTCTCCGGTACTGTCATAAGTTGTCGATGCGTTGCTGGCCCACGTGAACAAAAATGCAAAATTATTACAAGCGAAGAGCACGGTTTTCGACGGCAGCAGTCGTAGACGTCGGACCTTCTAATAGGGCGAAGCAGTTGGACTGAGCCAATCGGCGCCGGTTGGGATGCTGACTTGATCTAACTGTATTTCTCGAAACTAATAAACCGTTAAGATTACCGGGTCTTGCAATTCAAGTTTCAGTTTTACAGTATAGGTGACTATCTCCCAAGTTGACTCAATAAGATTTTGTAAAAACGGATAGCTATTATAGTCCAAACTTCTCTATCGGACCATGTCGTGCTTTAAAACTCGGTGTTTTGACATCCATTACTGAATACACGTAAATTACCGCTACAAATATCCGGCTTTTTGAAGGCCATATCAAGCTACGGCAAAGAATTCAGGCGAATACCGAGTAGTAAGTGCTCCCATGTTGTTTAGGTAAAATTCTTCGGTGGGCAGGAGGAAAGCAACGGTCATGTAAAATGAGCAAATGCAAGCTAATCACTCCATACGATATTGAGGCATTTACTCGCACATGCATGGTGCGCAAGCCTTTCAGGGCTTTCCTGTAGAATGTAGCCCAGGTGTACTGGTTCACAGAAATAGGTTGTTGGCAAATCGAAAAGGTATCAAAACCTGCTACTTAGAGCATCGGACTGATGCGAAGAACGTCCGGACGCACAATTTTTCAACAAATGTTCGGTTTTCAAGTACGTCCGCATGTCGAATACACGATCAAGATTGTTAACTATGACTAAAATGCAATCGCAGTGCTAGAGAGCCACTCCAACGTCGGACATCTAACTACGTCACTGGAATGCACATTTTCTTACACAAGCAGCAGTTAATCCGCTTAGGAGCATTCATTGTACGGTATCGTCGACTACATGGTGACCCGATGATAGCTACGTGAACCTGCACAACCCCACTCATGCTAGGCTCTGCAGGAACTCAACAGTAAGATCCATCTTATGCCATTTTTAAGGCTTTCGGAAAAATGCAGCCGTTTGGAGCGGTGAGGAAATTACTTTTCCGTTCGTCTATGCCACTCACCCCGAATCGGTCAGTTGCGGATTAATACTATCTGTAATTAAAAGGTGGTTAGGCGACGTTAATAGTAACCTGCGTTTTGTCGCCATGCATATATATATATATATATATATATATATATATATATATTTGTGCCCCATGCTGAGGCTGATGTTGCATTCTTGATGCTTCTTCACCGCAGTTGGGCTAAACCAACTTACACTTAAACTAGGTCTTTTTAAGCTGGATACATTTCATTCCGCTTTATTTGGTTTGTTCTGCCTCCCTGAATAATGTTCTATTAACTGGCCACGTTGCTTACACTAATTGCGCTTATCTTCGGTAATTTTGTTGCGTTTGTAGCATTTTAAGTAACTTGTGGACATTTCTTACTTATCACGGATTTGTTGCTGACCAACTTACTTCATATGGTAATTTAGCGAAGAGTTATGCCACCGTATCTGTATGCATTATTGGATTTATTTTATTTCAGCTTGTCGTTTAAATTGAATGGCTGTTGTTTGATATCCATGGTATGGTTGCGCTTGATGTGTATGTTGACAAGGTGCCTACCTGTCTATTACCCACTACATCGTTCATACTGGCTCCAGGAGACAGTTGGTCGTTGCTGGAGGGGACGGGGTGCACGGTTCTTGTGGCCGTGCTAGGCTCAAAGAGCGGTTCCATGCACTCAGTGTGGAGCGGACTACGGTCCAGCCACCGCCTTGTGTGCGGTTGATTCCCCAAATACAGCGTGCTTGTGTTTGCCTGTGAAGGAGTGTGGGCCGGCTCCGTTGATGAAACGTGGTTCCCATCCGCATGCCTCCCGGTCTTATTCCTTCGGGTTTACACTGGATATGGGGTATGTGGTTGGAGCTGTGGGTAGTGCAGCGCAAGCCATCCATGGTCCCTCTGTAGGCGCAGGCGTCCTGTGGCTTGCCACAGTGACAGGCAAATCCGAAACCGGATGCCGCCAACCATATATATATATATTTATAGCAAGTCAGTTGCTGGGTTGTAACTGAGTAAGCAAGCGAAATGGACAACTCCCAGTTGCCTTGTAACACATGACGGTTCGCTGTCGTCTTCTGTAAGCGCTTTGTCGTAGATGTCCGGCTCCTGTTGAGGCCAGAGAATGTGTAGCGCTGACGACCGTCTATAAGACAGTCTGATGCCTTTCCATGTTGGCGGCAAGCTTTGAGACTTGAAAGTTGATGAACGCTCACTACAAATAAATCGAGGTTCCGTAACGCTGAGTGAGAAAACCTTCCCTTAATGGTCAAGTCAAAGCATTTTGATTAAGAAATCGAATCGCAAGGTAGAGTAAAATGGCCTAGAAGTGTTATCAAATTGTAATGGATCTGAGGAACTAGATTCCTCCGTTTGAAAGATGACCATAGTGTATCTGGAAGTGGAACGTGTATTTAACCTCTACATGTACCGGCAACACCTAGCTGTACACAAACCAAGTAAATAATACTGCTCACTCTTCAGTGCTACCGCAAACATCGCATGAAGCTCACTAGTATACCATACTAGTGTTCGCAGTTTCAGACATAAAAAACCACTGCTAACCACATAGAAAAATGAATGGTACAATAATTATTCGCTCAGTTAGAAAGTTTGGACAGGCTTCGATCACACGAAGTAGTTCAGCCTTCGCTGTTGTCTCTTAGTGTGAACATGTGATTGGGGTCTAGGACACGGGAGTAACTGCAATAAAATGCAACTAACTGGGGCCACACAGGTAAGCGGAATAACCATACATCAACTTTGTTCGAGCAGCTACGTGTGACTTACCGGCCTGTGAGAGTAGTTCCACCACTCCAACGTGACCCATGTAAGCGGCGGCGATCAACGGTGAACGCCCCTCGGCATCTTGAATATCCACATCCGCACCGGCGTCGATCAATCGTTGAACAATTTCCTCGTGTCCAGCCCATGCCGCTGCCCTCAGTGCACTCCGACCATCAGGTCCAGATAAGTTGACAGATGCCCCATGGCATAAGAGCAATTCGACGATGTCTACAACGACGGGAAGTGGAATGCCTAAAATGTGTCATGCGTGATCTGAACACCAAGTTATTCATAATGGTGTCTATGCCACGACCGTTAAATTTTGCCTTAACCCGCTACAACAGGCTGGGTATTAATCAACAAAGCTCTGATGTGAAAAAGGGGGTATTGAAGAAAATAGCAGATAAGTTTATGGGTAATCAATGAACAGCAATAAATTTACAGTCCACAGGTGCGCCAAAGGTTGTTAATGCACTTGTAACTACACAGTGGGGGATCAAGTTGTGCAGCACGATTCTATTGAGAGCAGCCTGGAAGTGTTGTCACAAGATCATATTGACTGTTCAAAGCAGGCCGCATTAAAACCCGCCAACACCTTAGCCCATTGTGAAGATGCAAAAAGCTGACCCTTCTTTCTTCCGTCAGATGTGCAATGACTATATTAGATTTTATTCTGAATACACCACCCATGCCTGGCTGCCTGGTAAATGCCTGAACTTATAGCACTCGAGATCCCACAACGGAGGGTCATCAGAAATGTAAATGGGTTGTTTCATCTCCCTTGTTAACTGAGATTGAAAATCCTAGGGCTCTACAGTGGGCAGTATCGGCGTGATTGTCGTCACCTTCTGAAACCGAACTACAATGTCTCTCTAGGATGCTATCAGCCAGTTGGAATGCCTCCGGAACTTCAGCACTCTCCGCATGTGTAAACAGTAGAACGCCCTCCGCAGTACATACGTTTTTTCCTCCCCCACATTGTTGGTATTCCAAAAAAGTTTTGGCGATGAACTCAGACATTCACAAACATTAAGTGACAGTATTTTCTGCATGAGCGTCAAGGTAGCAGAAACAACCGTTTTGTTTAGATTAACTTCTTGGTGCGTCCATCAATATTTGTTTTATTTCGTTGAACTGCTTTATTTCCGGAGTTTTCTTCCTCTTATCCTATATCACATGTCAAGGAATAACGCTTTTACCCATGATAAAACATCATTTTCATTCGTGCAAAAGTGTCATAAAGAAAATCTTTCCCAAAAGACAAGCCTACAGCATGAGGTAAAATAAAGCCAAACTGCGCAATGTCCCGTGCTTGCTTCGTCTCTAGTATTAGGCACCTGCCGTACAAGGACATATCACCCAAAGTTGATCGACCGAAGGGGTTGTGCTAAGTGTGAAATCAAGTGAGATTTCAGCGGACTCGTTCGGTTGGATTCAGCTCGGCTAAGTGTAAAATAATAGTTCAATAGTGTATAATTGGATAAAATGCATAAGTTTGCAGGACTCACAAGATGGATAGGCAAAAGAAAATTAAAATCAAAATGTTCTAACGTGGAACGTGAAGTCATAGTGGTTAAACCATTGCACTTTATTAAACTGTTATGTAGCGTTTATCACTAAGATGAAAGTCTAAGAGTCATACGAATGTCGTCATGTCTGTTGCGTTCACTACATATCTTGGTAATGCGTTCCAGTGAGAACAGATTCTAAATGAGTAAAAATATGTTTTTACAATTCAGACGAGAGTGTTGCATCATTAGTTTCAAGTGGCTGCCTCGGTTTTGTTTGTAAGGGGCTAGGATCAACAGTGATGTACATGGATGCTCGCTTTCAGTTAGTATCCGGTATGTAAGAGTAAAATCTCCGTGAAGCCGTCGATATGCTGAGGAGAACATACCATGTACACGAAGGCGCAGTTCGTAACTGAGACCGGATAGTCCACGCGTTGACTTTGTGGCTCTACTTTGGGATTGTTCCAATAGGCGAAAGTCTCGTTTTAGCCAAATACACCAGGCCTGACTTGCATATTCAACCTAAGGACGAATATATGAGTTAATCAGCATTGGTACTAGCCGTCGCTCAAAGGTGCCGAGAGCTCGCCTCATAAGTCCGAACTTCAAGTTCGGCACACTTGTTGCCTTCGAATATTGGAGCGAATTGCTAAGACTCTCTTACACGATTATACTTAAGTCGCGTTCACTAGTCATGTGTTACAGGACATGTTGCCCCAAATGGTATGTGTTGACGAAGCTGCTGCGCACCGTCAGCAGGTGGCACTTTGCAGGGTTCAGTGGGAGCTGGTTCCTTTCTGCCCATTTGTTTATCCGAGTCAGATCTTCCTGGAGGTAGACACGGTCGGATGCTGAGCGAATTGCTCTCCACAGTTTAGCATAGACTGCAAATATTAGCATCGGAGATGGAATGTCTCTGGAAGGTCATTAATATGGACTAAAAACAGTAGGGGGCCAAGGACCGATCCCTGGGGTACGTCACTGGAGACGCACAGGCTTTCCGAGTGTGCGACGGCTACTCATACCGTACGCTAAGCTCGGAATCGCTAAGGCATGAGGCAATACAAATGCGGACACAACAATGACAACCAGTGACAGAGCAATGAACCCAGTGAACCGGGGAAACTAAAAAAACTCTCTCGCGTTGACGAAACTCTGTGTAGGCTGCAGCAAAAGAAATACACATGGTGTTTGACAATAAATTGAAAAGTAGTAAGTGGATGACATAAGGTGGCAGCTCAAAGGCGGCCACGTCATTCTGTATGCAGCAATGCACCTGAAATGAAATGAATGAAATGTGTCAGCTTATACGCCGTAACGGCGCTTCGCTGCCGCGCGACCACCACCAGTCGCGCGCGGGCTGAGTATACCGCGAGGACGCCCACCCCTACGCGGATTCGAACCGGTGACCTTATGGTTGGAAAGCAAACGTGCCAACCACTCGGCCACCGGCCAGCAATGCACCTAGTGCCGAAGAAAAAGCCACAATGACTGCACTATCTGTCGCTTAGTTAAAGGCACACGATGACCTCATACACACAGCGCGTCGCAACCCAAGCTGGTAGCGAATGCACAAATAAACAGGGACTTCTTCTGGCGGAGACCAGAGCTTAAAGTATAAAGCCATGCTTGCCTAAGGTGTTCAAGTCAGGACGAAAGTGGCCATGGATTGCATGGTTCGCAACGGACAATAGTGAGAGGTGTCCGCATCGGAAACACTCTCAGTTTTTGAAATAACTGGTTCACTTCAAAGTATTTTGGTGATTTGAAATCAGTTGACATGTCACAATCTAGTCACACATCGAGTGCACCAGAAACCGAATTCGCGACAATTTTCAGTCCACTTCGACAGAAGGAATGCTGGGAATGCTACATTTTGGGTAGTTGGTGGAGGACGTGTCATGTTCCGAATTCCAGTGCTGGTGATTTTGGGGAGGCTGCATAAGACAATAAGCAGCTCCATATGTTTACTCCATTGTCGCAGAACGCTCAGGAAACACAATCGGTTAGAAGACGAGCATACACCGCAAGATATGGGATGCACATCGTAACCGACAGGGAACAAAGGAAGATGGAAAAAAATAAGCTGGCTCCACACTGAATGCTGATGAATGTGGTCAGCCTAGCATGGAATTCAGAAAATAAGTCAAGAAAACGCGACCAGTTCAATGTAGTTGTACAATTGTGAACCGGACACAGGGGTCCATTGGATCCAGTTACTACAAATCGCTTCACTAGGAGAATAATAATCACTAACCCTGGTGAAAAAGCATGTCACAACGAGAAGTTAAGAGGAAAGTGAGTGAAATTAGTCTGATTGGAGTCGACTTGTCAGTCCGTTTGTAGTTCCCACAAGCTATTTCAATTCACTCTTCACTAAAGCAATCGTTTGAGTCATTTGATGGAGCAACTGGCGGAGCTAGCAGCATTTGCACACACCTGCTCAGTTGAAATAATCGACTCGAAATGTCACAGATAAGTAAGTTGATATTTCCCTACAGACTATACGGTCAACACAATAAATATCTACATCATTTAAACCCCAATGTTCACGTGCTCTTCAGGTTTGCTCTTTCTCGTGGCAGGAACGGTGCCCGACAACTGGGCAATGAAAGGCGGAATATGTTTTATCGCCAAACCCCCCAGACGACTCAAGGCCAAACGGTGCATGAACCAAGAATGAAGATGCACATAGCTGAAGAGTGTAAACTGGACACATTAACAGAGGCAAAAACAGTACCAACATTCGATTAACGCTCATGGCCTTTTCTTGCGCCACTCAAAGGTAAGTCCCCATTTCAGACAATCATAAGTTTTGAGAAATCCGCTTTGCTGACTAACAGATACCTTGAGCTCGGGTTTGATGTAAAAAACCGAGTTCCATTGCTTCGGTCACTAATTGTTATGTACGGTGATAGTTGTTCATTGTGGCTGTTCGTGATCGATTGATCACCGCTCGCTAAGGAGCCATCCTTACACGCACGACTGAGTACCGCTCTGTAAAAACATCGTCAATCAGCACGATCAATAAATGTTATATTTTCCACTCGAGACACACCACAAACAGAAACTAATTCCGAATCGCTTCAATGGAGCATAGGGTATCCTATAAATAACATGCCGCATTGATTTTGAGTAGATTTTGATCGTGGCCTGGACTTTGCTTTTGCTTCTTGGATGGCCGCCTGACAGAAAGCGAACGTGGGCGTCAACGAATTCATTGCACACATCCACTAGTCCCCTCCCGAATGCAAGGGCAAGGAAATTTCGTCCGAAAAAGTTGGTAAAAGTAATGAACACACAGTGTTTAATTACAGGGATTCTCGACGAAATTGCACGACAATTTGAACGAGTTAGATACCACGTGAGAGAACGCTTGTATGATTAATCGCCAAAGGGAGAATAACACACACCACCTACGTGAATCCTCTTGGCATTCAGTTCTTGATGCTGTTCACGCAGTTGCTAACCCACAGACTCCCCATTAACCTTGAAGACAGTTCTTGGGCTACCGCTGCTGCAGGCAACATACTCGTACCTCTGAGCGTCGCCACAAAGAAAGCATCTGTAGAAAATGCGGTAATATAGGCCATCTAGACCGCGTATGTGGATCGGAACCCGCCCCACGGACTAATCTGGCTCAAGAGAAATGTCAAACTAAGCTGGAAGACCCACAAAACGATCTAAATTCCATCTACTTGAACACCGGACCTCCTA